CATTTTAAACAAAGAACCCAACACAAACAAACGAAAAATCAAGGAATCCATCTTAATTGAACAAAACAACTCTTCTAAGTTTCACAACAGTTCCGGTCATGTGACTTCTTTGTTCAATACTGTATATATATATATATCCGTGTAAGTGTAAATTACTTGTACTTGATGATGACAAAACCTTGTCGAAACGTTGTACATTTGCTGTTATGTTAAACTTATATTAAAGTTTTTCTTCATTACCCATTCAAGCTGTCTCCAGCCATTATTAGTCTCAAAGTGAGTTCCTCGTCATCGAATAAGTATATAAGTGTTGGTTCATTACTGAATACCTGTTAATATATAAGTATATAAGTGTTGGGTCATTACTGAGTACCTGTTAATATATTAAGTATACAAGTGTTGGTTCATTACTGAATACCTGTTAATATATTAAGTATGTAAGTGTTGGTTCATTACTGAATACCTGTTAATATATTAAGTATATAAGTGTTGGTTCATTACTGAGTACCTGTTAATTTAATGACTGACCACACTTAAAATTATCGATACCAGTTTTCTAATCGGACTATTTAAGAACAGCGATGGTTATATTTTTCCTTTGTGTAACTAATTTCTATACCATTACTTTACACAGATGATCAGTATCGTACCTGGACTTCCACCCACCACCCCCTGTCCTGTGGAGTGTTGCTGCTATCAAGCACTTGTGTTCATGTGTTAGATGTAAACAAACTTTTAATAATCTCATTTTGTTTTAAAATGACAAAGATAAATTCTGTATGTACTTTTCAGTGAGAAAACATAATGGCTAAATTTAGTGTTCAGGAAATGAGATTGGTATCTTTATGTAGTTACTGAAATATAGAATAAACACAAACACACACTTCATGTATCTGCCTAATTCAAGAAATTTGTGTTTGACGATCATTTGTCAAATTGAATCTCATTTTGAATGATAACATCTGTTTATATTCCATGTATGGAAAGACATTCAAATACCGTAGTTGTGATGGGTGTGATAAGTTGGGAACTTAAAAAAAAAACACCTTCTCACAGTTTTCAAATCATAAAAAAATAATTTAATGACTAGCTGGAGTACCCGTCCAGTGGATGGAAGTTATGTAAATTCATGATTAATAAAAGGTTATCTTAGGACATGAAAAGTTGATTCCCTTATATGAAAATGTGAAACTGCAAGTTTGGACGTATCTCCGTATGGACCCAACAAACCTTCATGCCAGATTTGGTGAAGATCCATCAACAGGGGGCGCAGCAGTAGTAGAAAACACAAATGCAACTATAAATACTGCCAAATGCAAAACTAAAAATTTGTATGTATTTCCCCATGAACCCAATGAACCTACATACCAAATTTGGTGAAGATCCATCCACAGGGGGCAAAGTAGTGGTAAAAAAATCCCCACAAAAACCGAAAAATGTAAAACTGAAAATTTGTATGGACCTAATGGGGTGTGGAGTTTAATTCCCAAAAGTTCGTAATAATAAATATATGGAATCCCAAAGAAAAACTTGCTGCTCTAACACCTAATTTAAGACAATACTGTCAATAAAAGGCTTTTATAACTGTTGTTTTCTGGTTCACTGCTTATCTGTTTATTTGGATTTGATAAGTTTTGTTTTCTTTATGTTTTATGGGGCTTTTTTTTTAAATGTAACATTTTGAAGTTGTTAATTGTCCAAGATGCATGAACATGTAAATCGTCCTGCTTTTTATAAAACGTTTGGTTTCTTGAACTGGTCAAAGATTTATCACATGGTTAACTTTGAACTTTACTCTAGTGGGTGAATGAAACTTAAGTTACTTTAGCTGTTTGTAAAGTGTCCAACACTAACACTTACCTGTTGAAAACATGGAGACCTGTGTTTGTAAGGTGTCCAACACTAACACTTACCTATTGAAAACATGGAGAACTTACCTGTTGAAAACATGGAGACCTGTGTTTGTAAGATGTCCAACACTAACACTTACCTGTTGAAAACATGGAGACTTACTTGTATTAAGAAAGTTATCATCAGTGATCAGGGGTGAAATTCTGCCTGTACTCAGTACCGGACCTTTATTTTTTAAGGTACTACTAACAAGACTTATTTGAGCTGCTTTATCGTTTTTTTATATTTACACCTATATTTTATTTTATTTTTCAAAAACACTTTACCCAGCTACATCTACTTTTACTTTTTGAGAAGCTGACCCCTGTCATTGATTCTTACTTAACCATAATTGATGAGAAAGTGTGTGATGACCCTGTGGTAGAGCTCTAAATTTTGGAGCTGGCTAGCCATGCATTACCTCAACCCCCCATCCTCCCCACACACAAACACATTATAAGAGTTTAATAAATCCCTTTATGTTGATGATAAGTGGGAAGATGAAACTAGCTGCTCTCCCACTAGTTGGAAGTTCAAATTTAGTGATATTGGGAGTTAGTCTTAGCAGCTTTGTCATAACATTCTAACTAATCCCTGAACCCTAAGTTAATCAAGAGGAAAGGAGGAATACGACACAATCTTTATTGATAAACATTAGACAAAACATGGACAAGTGTTTGTCATGGTTGTGTAGTGTAGTAAAGAATACAATCTTTATTGATAAACATTAGACAAAACATGGACAAGTGTTTGTCATGGTTGTGTAGTGTAGTAAAGAAAACAATCTTTATTGATAAACATTAGACAAAACAGGGACAAGTGTTTGTCATGGTTGTGTAGTGTAGTAAAGAAAACAATCTTTATTGATAAACATTAGACACAACAGGGACAAGTGTTTGTCATGGTTGTGTAGTGTAGTAAAGATACCTTTAATATTATTCAATCCCCATGCGAGTTACAATATATAAACTATGAAAAAACTAAAAGATCTGCCTGACAGTGGAGAACCTGGCTTTGAAAGTTAAGCACAGAAATATTACCAAAGTCACGTTTTTCTGACGACCGAACCTCTCGCACGTGATCTTCGTCAACTGTGATCGCAGCGTATAGGTGTGAAGTTATTACCCCATTTGTCGACATAAAAGATAACCCTGTATCTCAAAGCATCACGGAAGAAGTAATAGTAATCTAGCCAATAAGCGAACAGTTTATAGGGCAAATCGAAGTTCGAGTGTACCAGAGTCAAGAAAGTATAATTATTTATTTGTCAGGTTTGAGAGTAAACTAGAAGAAAACACGAATTTCAAAGAATTTGCATATTAATTAAGAGTGAAGTTAACGCATGGTGCAGTCCTATACGACAAGTGTATTTCATCACAAGGGGGAGAAAACGTGAAATATTTCAAGAAATGTACATATATTTCACATTATTTCGGATCTATCTTTTGTGTCACTGTTTAACAGGTCTTTGGCTCGATACAAGAACTTGTTATTTAGGCTGGACGATGGAAGACAAAAGTTTCTCGGAAATGCTACATATATTTGAAATATTATTCTTTTAAGGTTGTGGTTTAAACGTCAAAAGTTGACGAAGCATCAGAAACTAATGGTCCTAAAATTTGTGATAAATATCATGTAAACTGCAGATGTATCTTAATAAGTTTTTACACACCCAATTTTTTGAATCCTAAATGAATACATTAAGCGGAATCTGTAAAGATATCTACAGGTACCACTAATTTTAGGCCTGTTAATATCGTAAGCTGTAAATGTAATTACTGTTTTGGGTATTTCCAAGATTTACAGCAGAGCAAAAGTCCAGACCTGCAACAAAAACAAAACGGGAGGTGAGAAAAGACATAGATTCTACACAGAATACAAATGTTTGATGAAAGTCGCCACAGTTTACTGTACGAAAAATAAAAGTAACCTGTTACACGATTCAATATAACAGTACAGACAAGAACAGATGAAATCAAATGGTTGTATAGATGTAGAAAGAACAGTGTGGTTAGTTGGAATGTCGAAGACTTTATTAAACAAAAGTCTCTTCAAGTACCTTATCTTCTCTACGATCAGCATACAACCGAATATTACACTAACACTAAGAGAGATTGTTCCCAAGTTGACATGAAACTATGAGCCAACTCTAACACAAAACAAATGGAAATATAATGACAAGTGCGCTAAAAACATACTGTTTGTTCGTAGGTGAACACAATTTCTTACTCAATAAACTAAACTTATGGGCAAATCCACCTTCCCAAACAAATAAAAGTAGAACTTAACTCTATAGTAACTGGAGGACTTGCAACCTTATTAAAACTATCGAGAAAATATTATACTACAGAGAAAGGCAATAATTTTAAGAGTGGTAATGATTAATGACTGATATTTCTAAGTAATCCTCGATAACTTAATAACACTAAACTAAATGTAAAACTGCTGAAAATCAACGAAAAGCTTTTATGAGGCTTAAAGTCTGGTAAAATATGCTGAAAAATGTATATAATATTTATGAAAATCTATTATTAAAAAAATTGCTAAAGTTTATCAAAATCAAGTAAAATCTCTCGAAGAATCTCCTGTTGCGTCAGCGAGGTCACGTGACTGTATCACGCCACTTCCTTCTCGAACCTTCGTGAATTATCGGGAGACTACTAGATTAGGGGTAGCTGGTATATATAAGATGGTCACAACGTGACGGAACAATGAGTAATTGAACTGCAGTCAGAGAGTGTGTAATTGAAGTGAGTATTGTCGAGCACGTGAGACGTTATAGCGTTTGTTACCGAGCGACTGTTGAAATTAAGTGTATCGGTAAAGTTGTATTCGGAAAGAATAAACCAGTTTTATTTAAGAAAGGACTTGTGTCGTTAAAGTTTCGTTGGAACGAATTTACTGAAAATTAACTAAGGAACGGAGACGTAACAAACTGGTGTCAGAAGTGGAACAAAAAAAAAGAAAGAAATGGAAACGAGAAGCTGCAAATCAAACTACAGCTTAGCAGACTTGATGGCAGCAATACAAGAGCAGCAAAAGAAACAAGAAGAGAGACAACAGCAGTTGCAAGAAAACCTGCAACAGTGGCAGCTCGAACAACAAAATAAACAAGGAGAGAGATTACAACAGTTATTGGAGGAAAAAGAAAAGAAACGAGAAAATAAACAAGAGAGACAACATCAGTGGTAGGAGGAGAAAGAAAATAAACAAGAAGAGAAGTTACAGCAGTTGTTAGAAGAGAAATAAAATAAACAAGAAGAGAAGTTACAGCAGTTGTTGGAGGAAAGAGAAAAGAAACAAGAAGAGAGACTACAGCAGTGGCAACTGGAAC